ATAAATTAAATAAATAAGTAAATAAATAGATTAAAGTAACTAACTCTCTCCCGATTGTAAGTCGTTTTAAATTTTCTATATAATTTTCATATATATGTTATAGCCATCTGATTCTAGAACATTTCCCAAACTCCAAGAGTTCTCATCCAATTCATAAACCTCATTAACAAGTCAATAAAAATAAAAATATTAAAAGTTTATATTTCAAAATTGCATCTACTGCATATGGAGTATTTATTTATTTTACTTTTTACATCAAAGTATATATTTGATCATGAATCGCTTAGCCATCCCTGCACCGCAGTAACTCATTTTCCATAGCATACATTTGGGGGCAATCGTGCCTACTTTGGCTCTCACTTTCCGTTAACTATTGCAATATGCATTTACCTATTAGCTGCTCTATATATATACTCCGGCAGCACATAGGTTAAAAGAAAAGCATTTTTGTGTGCAGTTGAGCCCCAAAGAGTGGGAGGGGAGGGCAGGGCAGTGCGCGCTATGTAGCCCCATTAGTCGTTGCTGATTCTGGCGCACATTATTTCTGGCACGGCACGTGTTTGAACCACAAACAGATGAATTTCTGCAGTGGAGAAGCGACGACGACGAATTATGAGCCACTCAGCGCACTTGCGCGTACCAAATGGTGTGTGGGGAGAGGGGGCGGGGGCAGAGGTGAGAGAGAGGGCGCGGTAGGGCCCTAGGCCCGGAGGCTGTGCACTGGCTCGCTGGTTCGCTCACTCGCAACTGCAATTCGTCCTGGGGGTCTTTTTTGTGTTAATAATAAATAAACGTGGCTCGGGCAGGTGGGCTGGCAGGCAACAGAGCTCTGAGCACACCTTTGTGCTTGTGTTTTGGACACCGGAGCGCATTTTAATGGACGAATGCAACGCCAACCCGACCCGACCCGATCCCAGCGACCAGCGCACCTTGCACCACTTGCAGTTGCATATGTGTGTGTGTGTGTGTGTGTGTGTGTGTGTCATACACCATGCTCCAGGAGCAGAGTCGTGCCCGTGCTGCTACGCTTGAAATACGGCATTTGCTCGTCCATCTTTTGATTTAGCACCGACATAAAAATGATTTATCAGTGACATTAAAATAATGCACACTGCGGCGCATTTTATGTGCGAATGGATTTTCGCGCCTTTTTGTTTTCCTCCCTGCCAGATTCCGCCTCATTTCCCCCTCATTCTATCTGCTTATACTGGCTCTCTCCATCTCTATCTCTCTCCTTCTATGTCCCTCTCTCACTTGCTGTTGCATTTGCGCCTAGTCCGAGCTGCTGCCACCCAGAGCCAAGCCTCTCTATCCGCAAACAGCTGTCCGTCCTTCCTTTGGTCCGTCAGTCTTTGTGTGCTGCCGTCAGCCAAATGTTTTACGGCCGAGGTGTTTGTGACTGCCACACTCGCTGCATGCGGTCACATGTGTGTGTGTGTGTGTGTGTGTGCGTGTGTGCCGTTGAGCTCTGCACCTATCCGAACCTAGCCGGAGATTCATAAATGTAAACTTTTATGCGATTATCGCGCTCTCTTTCTCGCTGCAGAGCTCGGCACATTTTACGAATTACACTGAGAAAAAATTGTCGAAATTCTACCAGATGAAATAGATAAAGAGTCAAGTGTTACATTTTTTCAACTTAATTGTTAACTTGACGACAAAAATGGCCATCGAAATTGCCAATATAAATATGAACGAAATTTAAAATGACTTAAATTATTTAAGTAACACAATAAAAA